GATGAGGAATAAGGTGAGGGGGAGGAGGAGGAAGAGGATGGAGAGGATGAAGAAGAGGAGGAGGAGGAGAAGGAGGAGGACGAGGGAACAGAGGAGGATGAAGAGGAGGAGGAAGAGGATGCGGATGAGGAGGAGGAGGAGGAGGAGGAGGAGGAGGAGGAGGAGGGCGCGAGAAGGAGGAGGAGGACGAGGAGGAGGAGGAGGAGACACAATAGGAAGAGGAGGAGGAGGATGAGGAGGAGGAGGAAGAGGAGGACGGGTAGGAGGAGGAGGAGGAGTAGGAGGAGGGGGAGGAGGAGAAATCACATACGATTAACACACGTACGTATAGTGCGAAGACACACAAGACCAACAAGACACCGAACCAGCATACTAACAGGAAAACTAATCACTCTAATAACCACACTACTTATATACGAGAAAAGAACACCGAACACGGAGGGTAATCAGAACACTAAGAAGAGTAGCCGTACTACTTATAAGACTAATCCGGATATGAAGAATAATCTGTCGAATCCGGATAGTAATAACAACGGGGCGACTGATACTAGTAATCATAATACTACGAATACTGATGATCAAGCTCAGAATCATACTATGAGGAAGAAGACTCATACGAAGACGAATACGGCGAATGATAATATTACTTAGAAGAATCAGTACCAGAAGAAGAAGACGAAGAGGAAGAGGAGGAGGAGGGAAACGGGGAGGAGGAGGAGGAGGAGCAGGAGACAGATGAGGAAGAGGACGGGGAGGAGGAGCAGGAGGAGGAGGAGGCGGTACAGGAGAGAACAACCATCAATGAGCGGAACAACATGACACATGAGGAACCCCTCTTCATCCGTTGATTCATTCTTCTGCCCATTTCCCGTATCCTTTTGTGCCTCTCTTGCTTGTCTTCTCCCGTTCTTCCTTACTTGCCTCCCTCTTTCCCTTCTCCTTCTCTCCCTCCTTCCCCCCCACCCGCGACCACGACGACGACGGCGCCGACGATTCTGACGACGACGTCGACGCCGAGATTGTGCCTGCATGCCATGCAGTTGGATGAGGATGTAGTTCATGAGGAGAGGGATGAGCATGAGGTCATCGGCGTGTGTTAGGACCAAATCGCGCAGCGCGCGTGGTTATGGATGTGTACAGGTGCTTGCAGCTGTAGTTGCATCTATATATGTATATGCTTCTGTACATGTATACGTGTATGTATGTATATTTATATAGATATATAGGTGTAGCTGTATATGTATCTGTGTACTCGGTATATATGTATATATGTTCATGTGTATGTATTTGTAGACGTACATGTGTATGAGTAGGTCTATAGATTTATAGGTGAGGTTGTATGCTTATATGTATACACTCATATGTATAACCGTGTTTGCTTATGTTGTATTTACATTTATGCATGTTTGCTTGTATGGATACACGGACATGTGTTTTTGAACCATATATATATACGTATATATGTATTTATTTATACAGATGTAATTGCATATGTTTTTGTACACACATATGTACATGTGCATGCATACACATATGTAGATGTACACGCACAAGTAGCTGTAACTGTGTCTGTGTGTATATGTGTACGCATGTGTATATGTAGGTGTACGCGTGTGCTTGTATATATGTACGTACGTACGTACGCATGTGTGCATGAATGTGTGCATGTGTCCATGCATGCATGCATGCATGCATGCATGTATGTATGTATGTATGCATGCATGCATGCATGATTGTATGTATGTATTGATGTATGTGTGTGCATGCATGTATGTATATATGTATGTATGTATGCATGAATGTATGAATGTATGTATGTATATAATGTGTTGTATTGTAATGCAATGTAATGGAATGTAGTGTAGTGTAATGTAGTGTAATGTAATGTAATGCAATGTAATGTAATGTAATGTAATGTAATGTAATGCAATGTAATGTAATGTAATGTAATGTAATGTAATGTAATGTAATGTAATGTAGTGTAATGTAATGCAATGCAATGTAATGTATGTATGTGTGTATGTAATGTACTGTATGTCTGTGTCTATGTTTGTATGTATGCATGTATATATGTATGTATATACATAAACATACATGCACATGGGGGCCTGGAGAGCCCTGGTTTCGGTATCCGGCCTCTGGCCCTTTCCCAGGGCGGCTCTTTGCCCTCCCGGGTACGCGCGGTTGGCGTTCGAATTGCTCCCAGGCGGCCCGAGGCCGCCGAAAAATCGCCCCACGACGCCCAAGACGGCCTCAAGACGGCCCTAGAGGCCCCCAAGGCGCCCCTAGAGGCCCCCAAGAGGACTCCCAAGAAGCAAGAGGCAAAATGGCCCCGTCTGCCCCAAGACGGCCAGAGAGGCTCCCTACAGGACTCCAGGACGGCCCACAAGAGCCCCAAGAACGCTCAAGAGACCCCCAAGACAGCCCAGGACGTCCCCAGGACGGCCCCAAGAGGGGGCCCAGAGGGGGTGGCCGAACGGATATTGCAAGCCTTCGGCGCCAAAACTCCCCCAGGAGGCCCCAGGAGCACCCAAAAAATAATCCCAAGAGGCCCCGAATAGGCCCTCAGGGTGGGTGGGTGGGTGGGTGGGTGCGGGGGGGGCTCTAGGTGGCTCTCACCACCCTATCCCCCCTCCTTCCTCCGCTCGAACCTCGAACCTAGGAGGAAATGAGGAGGAGGAGGAGGAAGAAGAGGATAATGAGAAGGAGGAGGAGGAGGAGGAGGGGAGGAGGAGGAGGAGGAGGAGGAGGAGGAGGAGGAGAGAGAGGAGAGGAGGAGGAGAGGAAGGAGAGGGAAGGAAGGAGAGGGCAGGAGCAGGAGGAGGAGGAGGAGGAGGAGGAGGAGGAGGAGGAGGAGGAGGAGGAGGAGGAGGAGACGGCGCCACAGAAGCCGCCAGTGGCTGCCTCCTCCCGCGCTGGTGTTCTCCCTGCATGGTGGGGCTGCTCCCGCCGCGACACCTCGGCCCGCGGCAGGCCGACGAAGTCCGCCTACGGCGGCGGAGTGCAGTGCGACCGCTGCAGCGACGAGCTCGTGCCGCCCGCCCCCGGGGCGGACGGCTCCCGGGAGGCCGCTCGGCCTCCCCTCGGCGCCGAGATCTGCACTGATCGGGAAGGGAAAAGCACACAGAGATCGGCAGCATCCATCGACGACGCCCGGGAAAACGCTGGAAACTGTGGGAAGCGGGGGGGAAGACGAACATCCAACAACTATGAGAACATACCCGGACTCCATGGATGTGTGTGTGTATTCATGTGTGTGTATTCATGTGTGTGTGTGTTGCCCTCACTGGTGCCCTGTGTGCCTCCTGTCGCTTCCGTTCCGAGGGCTGCTTCTCCATGTCCACCGCTTGAGAAAAGGAGTTTCATGGACCTAAGGGGTCGGTGGATGTGTGTACACCTCTCTCTTTCTCTCTCTCTAAATATATATAGATGTATAGGTATTGTTGTGTGTGTGGGTGTTTGTTTGTTTCTCTGTGTGTGTCAGATTGTAAGTACGTACGTATACATGTATGCACACATATATATATATATGTATACGTGTATGTGTGTATACAGTTGTGTATGCATGTGTGTATGTATGTACGTATGTGTGCATGCATACATGCATCCACGTATGTACGTATGTATGCATGTATGTATACCAGTATGTGTGGTGTTCTGGTTGTTTGTGTATGCATTTATGTATGCTTGTACACATGTATGCATATGGGTGTATGTTTGCATGCAGCTATGTATGTTTGTGTCGGTGCTTATGTATACATACATCGGTATATACATGCATATGTATATGCATATGCATACATACACACATATATATGTATATATGGCTATGTGCGCATTTGCGTGTGCCTATGTACATGTGTATGTATATGTTTATGTATATGTATATGTATGTATGTATATATGTATGTATTTGCATATGCGTGTATCTATTTATGCAGGTGTACGTATATGTATATGTATGCGTGCATGCATAGGTGTATGTATACGTATACACATGTGTAAGTGTACATGCATGCACACACATATATATATATATATATATATATATGCACGACGATCTACACGCACACGTGTATGTATGTATGCATGCATGCATGCATGCATGTATGTATGCATGTATGCATGTATGCATGTATGCATGTATGCATGTATGTATGTATGTATGTATGTATGTATGTATGTATGTATGTATGTATGTATGTATTTGTGTGCTGTGTGCATACATGCATGCATGACTGCATTCAATAATGCATGTGTGTAGGTATGTATGTAGGCAGGAATGGGTGTCTGTACGTACATCTGTAAGACTGTACATGCACATGCATGTATATCCTTGCAATGGTGTGTATATATATATATACACGCGCATACATGTTAGGCAATGCACATATACACATACACATACACATGTATATATATATATATATATATATATATATATATATTGGAATGCAAACATACGTGTGTGTGTGTGTGTCCATCGTGACCTTCGGCCCATTCTCCCACCGTGCCTGGATTGTGTGTTTGAGGCCTATTGGATGTTCGATGGGATCTCCTGGCATGCCTCTCGGGGGCCTCTTTGCGGCAGTTTTGAGGCCTTTGGGGGGCTGTTTTGGAGCTTCTTTTGGGCCTTTTGGGCGCCTCTTGTTGCCTTTGGGCGCCCCTGGGGGCCTCCGCGGGGGCCTCTTGGGGCCTCTTGGGCGCCTCTTGGGGTCTCCGTGGGAGCCTCTTGGGGCCTCCAGGCTATGCAGGCACGTCTGAGCCAACCTGAGGGGTCGCGGCTGCCCCAGCGCTGACCCCCTTGACAAGTTCAAGACGGGCCCCGAGACGGCCCAAGCGGGCCCCGAGGCGGCCCAAGAGGCCCCCCACAACCACGATGCCCCTCCACACTCGTTCGCCATAAGGAATTCCCAGAGGCCCCCAGAGGCCCAGAAATCTACTTTCAATGGGGTCCCCGAGGCTTCCCAAGAGCCCCCACGGAACGTCGGTCGAAAAGTGTGTTCCCCCTCGATCTTCGATGCTTGCCTCCTCTTCCCTCCCTACCCTATCTAATGGCCTTCGGTCCACCCCGACACCGTGCCTGGGCTGTGTGTATGAAGCCTGGATGTTCGTTGGGATCTCCTGGCAGACCTCTCGGAGGCCTCTTGGAGGCAGTTTTGAGGCCTCTTGGGGTCCTGGGGGCTGTTTTGGAGCCTCTTTTGGATCTTTTGGGCGCCTCTTGTGGCCTCTTGGGCGCCTCTGGGGGCCTCCGCGGGGGCCTCTCGGGGCCTCTTGCGGGCCGTTTCGGGGTCTCTTGGGTTTTGTTTTGGCCTCTTGGGCGCCTCTTGGGGCCTGCTGGGCGTCTCCTGGGGCCTCCTGGGGGCCTCTTGGGGCAGATGGCTCGGATTTCCGGTTCGTGCTCCCTCCCTCGGGCTCCTTTTGGGGCCGTCGGGCCCTCTTGGGCCGTCTTGGGCGCCTCTTGGGCCGTCTGGCACTCTTGTGCCGTGGTGGGGCCCGCTTGGAGGCCTCTTGGGCCGACTTGGGGCGGTCTTGGGGGCCTCTAGGGCCGCTTGGGAGCGTCGGGAAGCCAAGAAGGCGAGAAAGCCAACACCCTTCAAACATCTTGGGAACAGCAATGATTTTGGCCTCCTGGGGCCCTTTTGGGAGGCCTCTTGGAGGCCTTTGGGGGCGTCTTGGAGGCCTCTTGTGCCGTCTGCTGGCCATCTCGGGTGTTTTGGAGCGATCGTTCGGCGACTCGGGGCCCTCTTGGACCGTCTTGGGGGCCTCCTCTCCCCTCCCTCCCCTATCCCTTCGGGTTCCCTTCTCCCTCCAGTTGATTTCGGGGGCATGGACCGAGCCTCATGTGGCCGTTCGGGACGATTCGGACCGGGAGGAGGGGGGAGGACAAGGGGGAGGCCCATGGCTGCTTCACCCGCTTCTCATCACAGCGCCATGGACTGCGCCAGAATCCAAGCTTGCCTGAAGCTCGCGCGCGGTTGTGCATGTGGCAGGCCCCTAGGGGGCCCAAGACACCAATGTCCACCGCCCCCTGTGGTCCTAGGACATCGGTTCCGCAGGCCGTGGATATGGATGCACTTGCGCCCCGCTCCCTTGTATATGTCCTGCTCAGTAGCCTGATGCGTCTTATGATTGTACCTCTTCTTTCCATACGGGTGCCCCCAGACCTCTCGACCCCTTCCCTGGGACAGTTTTTTCATCCCGAGCCGATCTCTAGCGAACCCCTGGTCGAGAAACAGGCCCCAGGAGCCAAACTTGGGGAGACGAGACGTCAGCGATCTTATGCCGAACGCCGAGTGCGTTGTGGGGCAGATGCGGGCGTTCAAGGTCTGCGCTATCGGAAAGCCGCGATCGTTCAGGGTTGAACGATCCACGCGGTGCCAGAGTCGGAGCCCCATGTGTGACCACATCCATCCACCATTTCGAAACCCAATTCTGTAACAGCCACGGGGGGTCCACGCAGCACATCTTTCTACAGTTTACCCGCATAGTAAGGACGAGCAATTTATCAAGGTCACTCTTGCATCCTTCTCCTTCGGCCCATCCTTGGCCGCTTTCGCTGGTCGCGCCCCGCTCGCAAGGTGTCGACATGGCCTTCCAAGGCCCTTGCATCCTTATCGCGCGTCGCAATTAGGGCGGAGAGATTCACCACCCCCACCTATCGGGGCTCAAGAACCGGGGGTCAATGCAAACGGGGGTCAGTCAAAGCGCGGGCCCTTGCAGGATCCTGAAGGGCCAGGGGCGCACTGACCCAGGCTCGGGTGCAGGATCCTGCAGGATCCAGCAGCAGGATCTTGCAGGATCCTGCAGGGCCTGACTGACCCGGGTCTGGATTGACCCGGGTCAGAATATCCCCGACACCTCTCGAAGCCGTGGGTCGCCAGGAACATGAGCCCTGACTCGGCGGCAAGCCTGGGGGGAAGTGAGAATCGAAGCAGAAACAACGCTATGAGCGTCCGTGCGGTGGCAAGCCTGCCGAACCTGGTCCTTCCGCCGCTCCTCGCCCCCGCTCCTCCCAAAGGGGAGGGACACGCACCCCGACCCTCACAACTGGCGTCTGCAAGCCTGTTCTGACTTGTTCGGGAGGGGAGAAGCACACACAGAGACACAAAGAGTAGTCGATCGCCCGGACAATTTGGGGAATCCTGGGATTTGTGTCTATGCGTCCTTGGTGGCCCTTTATACTAGTTTGATATAAAGTGTACAGGGCGCCTGGGCGCGTTCACCAGAGGGCTTCGCTTACAGTTCTTTTGCCCTATCTAGCTGTCTGCGGCAAAACGCCCCACAGTGCCTGTGCAAGAGTGCTGCAGGACGGAGGCTGAGTGTAGGAACATCGCAATTCTGACAAGTGGTATGGTAAGGACGGGTCGTGAACTTCCTCGTCCGCGCGATGGGAAGGAGGTCGAGTTTCTTGCCCCGCGGCAGCTCAGGGAATGTTCAGAACTCGGGAGGGTCTTGATCCGGACATCGTCTTCGTCCGCGCGGTAGGGAGGAGGAGGAGGAGGAGAAGGAGGAGGAGGAGGAGAAGGACGAGGAGGAGGAGGAGGAACAGGAGGAGGAGGAGGAGGAGGAGGAGGAAGAGGAAGAGGAGAGGGAGGAGGAGGAGGGCTAGGAGAAGGAGGAGGAGGAGAAGGAGAAAGGAGGAGGAGGAGGAGGAGGAGGAGGAGAAGGAGGAGGAGGAGGAGAGGGAGGCATTGAAGACGAAGAGAAGGAGTCTTTTTAGGGCCCTCCTCGGGCCTCCTGGTTGCCTCCTCGGGCCTCCGGGGCCTCCTGGGTCCTCTTGTCTTGGTGCCCTCTTTGGACTGTCTTGATGCTCTCTTGGAGCGGCCTAGGGCCGTCTTGGGAGCCTCTTGGCAGCCTCTTGGAGCCTGTTTTGTTTTAGACTCTGGCACGTTTACTTGCAAGGACGGGGGGGGGGGGGCTGCGCCTGAAGCAAGCCCCTGGGGGGGGGGGTGCGCGGAAATCACGCAAGTCGAAATGCACTTGCACGCTAGTATTCGCTTGAAGAGGGGCGAGGGGGGGGGGGGGGGGGGGCGAACGCCATGCAAGTAAACTTGCCCGAATCCAAACAAAAACATGCTCTTGGGCGATCTTGGGGTCCTCTTGGGCCAACTCGAGGCCCTCTTGGGGCCCAGGGGCTGTCTTGAAGCTATCTTGGAAGCCCCCTGGGCCATCTCGGGGCGGTCGGGAACCCACACAGGCAGAAACGTCAACATCCTTCAGACACCAGAGGACAATCATTGGTTTTGGCTTCCTCTCTCTCGAAGGCCTCTTGGGCCGCCTTGGGAGCCTCTTGAGTTGTCCTGCGGCCGTCTTGGGAGCCTCTTGAGTCGTCTTGGGTCATCTTGGGCCGTCTTGGTGTCACTTTGACTGCCTGGGAAGCCGTCTTGGTGGCCGTGTTGGCGGTTTCGAGGCCGAAAAGAGTGCAGGATAGCCTGTTCACAGGGGGCGATCACATAGGGACGCGCGCGGGTGGGGTGGTGGGTGGTGGGGGGGTGGGGCGACCCTAGAACACATGTAAAAAGCTCTCCCAGACAGCAGATGAGCATTCGAACACGCCGACACCATGCAGGGTACGGTGGCTGCTACTTACTCCCGCGCTCCTTCCCTCTCTTCCGCCTCGTCTCCTCCATACCGCCGCTTCCCCCTCCCTCCGTCTGTTTGCAGGCCAGAGGCCAGAGCATCGTGGCTGCGCCATCGGCGAATGCACTTACCTTACATTGGATTCGCAGCAGCGGAACCGGCGGACGTCGTCACGCATATGTTGTTGACGCCAGTTTCTTGAAAGTTGAAATGCAGTCGCCGATGGCGTAGCCTTGGGTTCATTGTCGTTTGTGCACAGGTGCTTCTGTGCTGGTGTGTGTGTGTGTGCCGTGTTCTTTGCCTCCACGCTGTTCTGAGGATGATGGGCCGTACAATTCTCGGTCCACGACTCTGCGGTCGGGGGTCTTCTGATTCGCAGGTCTTCTGAATGTGGCCACGTGACCTTGCGATCCACGCGTGTTTTACAGCAGGGTTCTCGATTCCTTCGCTTTTCTGAGATCAATGAACAACTACATAATATACGCCTGCGGAGTCGTCGGCGCTGGACACCCCCGCATCGCGCGCGGAGCGCGTCAGGAGCGGCGCTGGAGGCGCCGCCAGGAGGATCCAGCGCCGATTCAAGAAATGCGGCAAAACTCAGAGAGTTTATGGCTACATTGTTTTTGTTCTGCTGTGAGATGCCTGCTTCCTGTGTCCTCCCGCATGCTTTTCCGTCCGCCCCCTCTGCCGCGTGAGGCCGAAGGGTCGACCTTCTTCCACTGCGGCAAGTGCTGGTACGACCTGTGCCACCGCTGTGCCCTCAACGAGATGCGAGAGGTGTCCGGCCTCCACTGCCTGCGCGAAGGGGGGGCGATGAAGGCCGGAGGACTCGCGGGAGGCCCATGGAGACAACAGGGGCCCTCGTCGGCGCTCCTCGTCCCTCTTGGGCGCACCGGAGGCTGCGCGCGTCGCCTCGAGGAACGGGTCGGGATGGACCCCGGGAGGGGTCCGGGAGAGCTGCCGTGTCTTCCTCCGAACAGCGACAACTTTTGAGGGGCCTGTTTTCCACCACCACCACCAGAAGCTGGAGGGGGAGGGAGGAGGACGAGGAGGAGGAGGAGGAAGAGGAGGAGGACCCCCTGCCCCTCCAACATATGGTGGTGGTGGTGGTGGTGGTGGAAAACAGGCCCAGCAAGTTAACTATGTGCCGACACCGATCCTGGCCAGGATCATCCTGGGCCCAAGATTTGTACATACGCCTTCCTGGTCAGGCTGGGAATGTGTGGCAAGGCTGGGAAGGCTTGCGCACCGTTTCTGTGCCCAAGGCCAAGGGAAAACCGTTCAACGCTCAACGTTCATTGCCCGATCGGCCCAGGATCGGTCCTGATACAGAACACGGGGATAAAACATGCACGGCGACAGTACTTTTGAAATGTCACCGGAAGAGAACTTAGGAAAACATCAGAACAACGGCACCTGTTTGTCGCCAGTGAGAACCGGTGTCGGTGTATAGTTGTCTTTCTCCGTAGCAGGGTCGGGACCGCGGAGGCAGCAGAAAAGTAGAGCGGTTTGGGGGATTCGGTTTCGCCTGTTTGGGCTCCTCGAGGCCTCCAGAGGCCCCTGGAGGTCAGGGGGAGCAGGGTGAGGGTATGAGGAGGAGAGGAGCAGCGATCAGATACGGATAGAGTGGGTGGGTGGGCGGGGAGGGGAGGGAGAGGGGGAACCAGGAGGTAGTGGGTAGACCGTGCAAGCGGGAGGGAGGATAGCAACACAGCTCTGTACACATTCAATTCAGGTACAGCGGGTGAGAGCATATCTGTATGTATGTATCCATGTCTACACACCCAGAAGTCTGTGTTTACTCCTTCCCGCCACAGTGCTCGTGCGTCAGGGCCCTCGCTCAGGCCACGTAGGACGCAGGGCCCTAGGCGGTTCTGCTGTTCTCCGCCACGCCGCGGGCCCGTGCGGCCTCGTGGGCGCCTCGTGGGCGCCCCGTGCGGGCGGCGCGGGGGGGGGGGGGTTCTGCGCCGAGGCTGCGCCACGCCACGCTGCACCGCGCGTGCGCCGCCTCGTGGGCGCCCCGTGCGCTGAAGGGGTGCCCGCACGGGCTGCGCCGCGTCGCCGCCTCGTGCCGCCTCCGGGGGCGCCCCGTGGGCGCCCCGTGCGGCTGGGGGGGGTCTGCCGAGGCTGCGCCGCGGTGCCGCCTCGTGCCTCCCCCGCGGGCGCCCCGTGCGCCGATCTGATGCGACGTGGCTGTCGCCACACAGCTCACGCAGCCAGCTCGCGCCCCGTCGCGTTCACCTCCGGTGCACACTGCGTAGTTTCCACGACTCGCTTGGCCCCCCAAGCTTGCTACGCCCTTTCTGGCACATGTGCACTCCGGCGTTGGCTTTTGGCCCGCTGGCAATTATCTTGCGTGCTGCCCCATGCTCGATACGACCCGCTCTCTGGAATCGTCCTTGGAGCCGCAGATCGGAAAGTAGTTTCCACGACGCAGCTTGCGCCACATGGCTTCCACCTCCAGGCTTCACACCACGCAGCGTACACGGCACAGCTGTCACCACATAGCTCACACCGCATGCTTTGTCTCCACAGTGCAAGTGCGCACTGTTTAGGGTCCTCGCCCGTTATACGGGAATTTCTCGCTCGTTTCCGTTCAACTGGTTTTATCTTGGAGTGTTCCCGGGTCGCCCCGCCAGTAACGGGGTGCGTTGTTGCGGTATGAACGACTGCCGCCCGAGGGGCCCGCGCGTCGAGACATTGGCAGCACTATGCTGAGTTGGTTCGGCCCGTTTCGCATGAGATATCCTCGCAAGTCTGCTTTTTGAGACGCCGGTCTGTCCCATGTCCCCTGAAACATCATCAAAACATTCTGGGTTCGCGGATACCGTGACCTGAGGTTGCCTCTTCCGTTTCGTTTGGAGACATCGGATCTACGCTAGGTTTGAAGATGCCGCCCACGAGGTGATCTGGTCAGTTTGGCCTGAGACGTCCCCGCAATTCTTGGCAAAGAGATGCCGCGTGCGAGTGGGTCCAGCCAGTTTCGCATGAGACGTCCCCACAATTCCGAGCAATCGTTGAGGAGTGCGAAGCGAAGGAGGAGTGGGAGGAGGACGATTAGCAGGATGATTGGGAGAGAGAGAGAGAGAGAGAGAGAGAGAGAGAGAAAGAGGGGGAGGAATGATAATGCTCGTATTGCTGTCAGACTAGTACTCTTGTTTTTCGACGGCGCTTGCGTCCTGCAGTCGCGGACGGCGCGCGCGCTTTCGCCGTCGCGTCGCGGTCGTCGCAGCGCTGTCCGGCGCGTCGTGTCCGCACGCGCGCGCCAGCTGGTCGTCGCTTATCTTCTTGCTCGCCGCCGCCGTGTCCGTCATCGTCGTGTCGCCCCGCGGTCGTCGTCGGGGTCGTAGTTGGCACGCCCGTTGTGGTCGGGGTCGCCGTCGCGTCGCGGTCGTCGTCGCGTCGTTGTCGTGTCGTGGCTGCCTGTCGTGGTTGGCTGGTTGTCGTATCGTCGCCGTCGGTCGCGGCTGCCTTCATGGCTGCCTGGCTTCTGCGTCGTGGTCGTCTGGCTGGTCGTGTCGCGGCTGTGCGTTGGTCGCGTCGTGGGTGTCGTGCCGTGGACTTGCTGTCGTGTCGTGGCTGCCCGGCTTGTCCTTCGTCGCCGCGCGGGGGCGCCAGTCGCCGCCCGCCTCTCTCCGTGCCGGTTCCCTCCCCGCCCTTCCCTCCGCTGGGCGCAGGTGCCCTCCTCTTCCACGACAAGCTCCCGTCGTCTGATTTGCTGACTCGAGGTCAGGACTTCTCCTCCGCTGTGGGCTGGCCCACGCACCGTCTCCGCTCTTCGCGCGGCTGCTCGGTTTGCTTTCGCGCGTGCTCGGTCCGCCCGACAGGTTTCTTGTCTGTTCGGCGGATGCGGGGCCCAGTTGGCACCCGGCGCAGGTGCAGACCGAAACGGTTGGTATTCCCACGGGCGCATACCGTCCGTCGGCCCCACGTGTCCACGCGAAGCCAATGCGGCCATCGCTGGGGCGCGGGCCCATTCGGCCCCAGCGCACGTCGGCTCCAAGGCCCAGTCAGTCCCCGCCGCCGGTGCGGGCCAATAGTCGGTCCCAGGTGGCCATGCGGGGCCAATGCGACCCTCGCAAGAGCGCGGGCCCATTCGGCCGCAGCGCACGGCGGCTCCTGGGCCCAGTCGGCCCCCACCGCTGGCGCTGGCCAGTGCGGCTTGCAATTTTTCGTGCGCATGGTGTCCGTCGGCCCCAAGTAGCCATGCGGGGCCAGTGCGGCCCTCGCAGAGGCGCGGTCTAAATCGGCCCTTGCGCACGGCGGCCCTGGGGCCCAGGCGGCTCCCACCGCGGGTGCATGCTGTCCGTCAGCCCCAAGTGGCCATGCTGGGCCAACGTGGCCCTCGCACGGGCGCGGACCACCCTGGCGCACGGCGGCCTTGAGGCACAGGCGCCTCCAGACGCAGGCGCGGGCCAACGCGGCGCTGCGACCTGCCGCTGCTCGGGGGCTTTCTGCTCGACGGCCCAAGGGGCCATCTTGTGGGCCCGGGCGTCTGTCGCGGCGTATCGCGGCGCGGTCGCTCCCGTTGCGTAGTCGCGTCGTCTTTCCGTCGCCGCGAGGCGCATCAACGACTGAGAGTTGTGCTGCGCGCGCGTAACGCGCCGCTTCGCGATGACCGAAGTTGCGCCGGAGACGTTTCGCGCTTCTGTTGAGCGCATCGAGAGGGCGGGCGCGCGGGAAACCGCCTCGTTCGTCTTGGTCGCAGTGGCGCTGGCGCCCGGAAGCACAACAGTGTCCTCAGAGTTGGCCGCGGCCAAGTTTGAGGAATCTCGCTGCGGGAGTGCTGGCGTGGTTGGAGGCTAGAAGCGAGGCGCCCGCGCGGCCATCGAGCTCGCCGCGCGCGAGAAGGTCGGAGCGCCCGCGCAGCGCGAGTCGCGCGCGCGCCCGCTCGCGCGCCCGCTCGCGCGCAGGGCGATAGTAAGAGGCAGCGGGCGACCGCGGGGTCGGCCGGCGAGGGCGCTAGCGCCGCCTTCCTTTCGTTTCAGTAAAAGAAGGCTGAGGCTTCAACGCGCTATCGCGCGCCCGCCGTCGCGCGCGTCGCGTCGCAGGCGCCCGCGGCGGCCCGCGCGGACACCTGCGCCTCGCTCGAGACTGCCAACCTGGAAGGCGGCCTCCCGCCCAGGCGCCGCTCGGCTTGTCGCGGCGGCGCGATTGCGCCATTTTGCGCGCGACGCTCGCGGCGCAGCTCCGACCTCGTTGATGAGCTTGCCAGCGAAGCGGCCATGCTTCGGACGCGCGGGGTTGACAAGTGCTTCGTCTGCGCGAAGCTGGCCACGTGGGCGCCGCATCACTTTGCCAGGTCGCTTCGCGACGCCGACGAGGACGGGGCTAGACTGAGGGCTTGAAAATCTTGGCGTGGGCGCGGCTGTTTCCCGTCGCGCCCGATCGCGCGGCGCATGTCTCGCTGCGGGGGCGAAGGCGACGCCCGAGCGCGCCCGGCCAGCGCTCAGCCAGAGGCGCCCCGCGCGGAGTCGCTGCGCGACCAGTGCCCTCGTCGCTGCCATCTGATCCGCGCCGCGGCCGCGGCCCGTCGCGACGTCTGCGCGGCGGTGGGGCCCGGGGGCCGCCCGCCGCGAGCGCCGGGTGCATCTCGCGAGCTACTGCGACGAGCAGCCCTGCAAGGATTGGGCGGGGCGTTCGCGCCCTGGCGATTTTATTTGAGGCGCGTGCTCGTTTCGGTCTTGCGCGAGCTACCTCGCCGCGCTGGCCCCGTCGGTCGCGCGCGGGCGGGGCGCGCGGCAGAGCGCGCGGGCGCCGCCGTCTCGGGTCGCGCC